TAAGTATCTGAGCAAACAGCAGATAGTCGAGATCAACTAACTAACATTGTATAAAGTATCTTAAAATATTTAGTCAAAAGATATTAGAGCAAGAAGATTAATATAAATCAAGTATTTATTATTATATGTATTATATATAAATATATAAAAATATATATATATAAATGAATTTGTGTTCATATATCTGCTAATTTTATTAAATTATAAAAATCATGACTTCTTTCTAATCAACTCATTTTGGATTTATAAATTAAAAACACAATAAATCGAATTCACGGATTTTCTTAGAAAATTAATATGTTAATTATTAAAATAAAATTAATGATTTAAAATAAATATATATTAAAATAAAAATTTTATTACAAATACTTTCTTGTGGCTTTTTTAACATGTTTAATGCATTTTTCGTTAACAGACAAAGTAATTAAGATTTGAAAACCGTTTTTCTTTTCTGCCAGTAAGTATCTTATAGTATGTATATTACAGTATGTATCTGTAAGATACATGAAATCTGAAATATTTTGCTACATAACAAATGACGTAAGCCCAGTTTACTGCAAACACCTTGGGTGCCAAAATGTCATATTTTTTTCTTAACCTTTTTGTGACAAAACATATATCACTTTGACTAATTATTTGATTTTGAAATACAAATGCCAATTCCAAAACGATATTCATACATTTAACGTACTCTGAATATTAATATAACCATTCTAAAAAAACATAATAATAACAATAATATTATTAATATAAAAAAAATACAAAATTAATCACAAAAACTCAGAGAATGAAGGTCAGAAGGTCAATAACCAGTTTAAGTAGCGGATTTTGTTAAATATTTATTCGATTTGAATTTAAAATAAATATATTTAAATCTTTGATATACGACATTTTTTAGCCGAAAAGATTTCTATAGGAAATTCCCAAAAGGTAGTCGAGATTTGCATTTTCTTAATCTGCGTTGCAAATCTCCATTCGGTAAGCAACAATTTATAGACACGAAATCCAATCGTGGCTTTTCATCTTAGCACTGCGCGACGTTCTCGATTGGATTGGTTCGGTGTGGAATTGATATTCCATGAATGAATGAAAGAGCTTTGGCTTTTAACAAGTTTATACAAATTTAATTATATAATGTCTCATAATAAAATTCTATAAAAATAACTTAAGATCCGCATAGGTGGTTTTTTTGTCTCAATAAAAATATTTCTTTATCTCATAGATTGTTATTTAAAAATATTTAATTAATTATTTATTTCAAATGATATAAAAAAATCTAAATAATAATATATTGTTTATCTGAAGACAGCACAGCTTCTCTATAGCTACAGTTATGGCATTAGCAAACAATACCAAACTACTTTAAAAATAACTTCTATATTACTTAAAGAGTACTATGACACTATACATTAAGACTGAAAAGTTTTCGGAAATTCTCATTTAAAATTCGCGCGCTGTATATTTTTCGATATTTTAAGTTTATGTAGTTTGGCAGCACTGTCCTTAATTACTATGCCAAAAATGAGCACGATCTGTCAGACAGTTCGTTTACGGCGTGTTGAACCAGTTCACCTCGTAGTGCGTTGCGAATGTCTTCGACGGTCCTACGACCGTCCTGAAAGGCTTTGTACCACTCATAAACTTGAGTTTTCGATAAAACTGATTCCCCATAAGCCTTTTGTAGCATTCGCAACGATTCTGCACACAAAATTTCGTTCGAAACACAAAATTTGATGCAAACTCTTTGTTCAATATTTTTTTCCATTGTTTTTTTCGCAACGCACTACTGAGGTGAACTGGTTTCAACAGCTGCCGTAAACGAACTGTCTGAAAGATCGCGCTCATTTTTGGCATAGTAATTGTCCTTAATTGCTGCCAAACTACATAAACTTAAAATATCGAAAAATATACAGCGCGCGAATTTTAAATGAGAATTTCCGAAAACTTTTCGGTCTTAATGTATTATAGTATTACATATTATTCTATATTTCTAAAGAGTACTATAATACTATATTATAGTATCATATATATTATATTATATCGTATATATCAAATACTATATTACTAAAGGGTTATACTAGTAGTAAAGGGTTATACTTAGTGGCGTATTAGGGTTTGACGCCTCTAAGTTGAGTAATCGGTAAATCCTATGGGAAGACACTACAATATATTACACTCACAACTAACCTTATACATAGGCATCCCAAAACAGGTGAATACTGATAAATGATAAAGACACACTGAAATGTTTAATCGCCAAATACCCAGCTCTATACTGAGGCCAACAATTGACGATTACAAAACAAAAACTCTCAGTAATAAAGCATCTAACTGAATCCTTAAAGCACCGATTGAAAGTTGAAAAATGCCAACTCACAGAAATAGACTGCCTATAAAGAACTTCAATGCAAGTATCCTATCCGTCTCATGTCCAGTGCAAACGTTATTGAAGTTATTGGCACAATAGACCCATCCGTGGTTCTAGCACTTAAACATCTATATAGGTAGATGTCAAGCATCTGTTACTTTTAGAGTAATATTGTGCGGCTCTATATATATATAGCTAAAATCGCTATATATCAAATATGGAGCAATATGCACGCTCTTACTTACATAATAAGTAAGAGCCATAATAACCTGTTACCGGGTTTAAGCCCGTCCACGCCCTGGAAACTACAAAAATGTCAAAATATTAATCTAAGAAAGACATTTGATATTTCTTTGAATGTCAGAAACTCTCATATACATATAGATCTTTCTATTGAAACCATAAAGTTTAAAGCATCTTATCTATTCAGCAAAATAGATGGTAACCCGAATAATATTTTAGCTCAACTTGAAAGAATTAAATTAACAAAACAAAATTTACCTCTGTCAGTATATTTATTGTATTATACATTGAATAAAAAAATGCATTTAACAATAAACTTATGTAGAATACCAAATTTCCCCAATCTTGATTAATTGAAGTGCACCCATAGGCAGGAGTATGGGTTGTAGATGTAAGCAAACCTAATAATCCACAATTCACAACATTAACCCTATCGATTTCTTCAAACTGTCCTTAATTACTGGAATGGTATTTCAGTTATTGACTTTTTTGAAAATTATTTTTGGAACTAATTACTGAGATAGTTTTACTGGATTAAAGTCTCTTATATAGATGTTTTGGACATACCAATTATTCATCATTAGAGATTTTTTTACCTTATAGAATAGATATAATTATTTTACTGGGTAGATAGTTAAATATTAAATATCTTTTAAACGATTATTTTTAGACATGTCACTAAGAAACAACTACATTTTCAGAGATAATCAAGCGACAATAAACCTTATACTATATCTCTGAATAACACCTCAGTGCATTTATTAATTAACCTAAAATTGACTTCGGTTCATAGGGACACCAACTAAACAATACCGATCTAACACACGTCTTCCAATAATATTAATTAGAATAGATATATAGCTGTATAAAACTGGCTATATAAACAGCATACTTTTAACTAGCAGTCTATATTTTGACTTTCCTTTAGCTAGCTTAACTAGTTATATTAAACAAAGAAAATACTTTAAAATGCACTTAAGGTGAAACGAAGAGTAGACATGTGACACAATCTCTAACTCTTCTTAATCTTAACAATATTGTATTGACTAATAGGAAAACATTTCGACTGGTTAAGGTCTATTTTCAATCACTACTGTCATAACTGTAGGTTTGTGCAAGAAAAAAATTGTCTAAGTCTCTCTCCCCTAGGTGTTATTTCAATATCACCAGTTTAGGTATAAGAAACATTACCTATTTTATTAAAACGGTACCGTCTTATAAAAATGGTGCATTTACCTAAAGCTTCTTAGAACTCCTGGCAGACTTTGAAACTATGGTGAAAATCAGCTTATCCCCTTAGACCTATTATTAAACAGTGGTACAACATATAACTGTGCTAAAGTGCATTTCTTAGGGATTAAATAACTTGAGTCTACTGCAAGTCGGGCGCTACTGGTCAAAACAGCTCAAAAGCACTGAATTAATTGTTATTCAGGAACCTCTTTAGGCCCACATAATAATTTAAATAAGAAACGTGTGGAAGTGTTGTTTGTTTAAGCCGGTAAAATTATATATACACTATTTTAATTATATACTTTAGAAATTTTATTGCCTCTTTAGAATTTTTAATTAATCAAATAAAATTGTTTAAAAATAGTAAACAAAAAAAAAATAGTCATAAAATTCTAATTTATAAAATTTATTTAAATATGTGTAAATTTGAAAATAGAGTCGACAATTGTAGAAGTAACTAAGATAAAAATTATTGAAAAATTTTTTTATGATATAAATTTATCGAAAAGTAATTAAAGAGGATATGAAAAAGCCGTCTTTTTCGTCATCTGAAAAACTATATTTATTATTTAATTTATTTAAATATACAGAAATATTGTCTAGAATTTTAACCATTAACCACATTTACATTTTTTCATAATTATTTTCCCTATTTATATTTAAATTAATAAACTATGTATGTATCTTATTAACAATTAGATGTTTTGTTTTCTATTCTAAAGTGAGTAGGAGTACGAAATTGTCTATTTGGAGGCTAAAAAACTGGAATAATTGATTGACTGGTTTCTTTAGAACTCGAGTGACAATAATTTATTCTCGACATATGCTAAATTGATTCATCGAAAACTATTAAATTTTTTTTGTAAATTTTATAGACTAATACGTGTATATATATTGCTAAAGTATATACAACTTAAATAATATCTAAAAAAAAAAAGTTAATACGATGATATCAAGTTCTCGACTCTAAAGTTTGATTAATTCAGAACACCGTAAACTTGCTAAAAATATTCTCATAATTAAGTTTCTAACACAATAACAAATAAATTATACTTGTATTATTAAATTGAGAGAATCAACTAAAATTAAACAATAATAATTCATAGCAATAATGCATAAAAAAATGTTTAATAATTAAATCATAAATTATTCTCACCCTGTCCGTTAATTATTACGGCAAACCCAACACAAATCAAAGCAATTGCGATTGCAGTAAAATATTTATTCGCCATATTAGTAACTTAAAATGAATTTGGATTTATACTAAGAATTATTAAATAATAATTAAATAAATTTATTTTTTCACACTGAAATTATTATAAATTATTTCCAAGCGCAATTATCACACCGCAGTCTTCCGCGTATTTCGAGCAACTGATTTCAGTTTCTAAAATCTCGGAAAGTCTTCGAGTTCGAAACTCGCAAAGCACGAAATCGGATTTTGTCGATAGTCGAAGATGAGCAATAATTTTCAATGAAAGAAAAGCTTCTTTAAAAGCTTCAATCAAAATCACTGCCAAAAGAAATGCGCAGACAAAAGACTTAAAAAACAAACTTGAAATTGATCAATAAATACAGGGTCAACAAACAAATTTTGTAAAAGATTTCAAACAATAGATATCAAGTCTAAATTTCAGATATTACCTTAAAGGAGTTTTTTTAGTTGAACTTTTTACTTGAAATTGATCAATAAATACAGGGTCAACAAACAAATTATGTAAAAAATTTTAAACAACAGATAATAAGTCTAAATTCCAGATATTACCTTAAAGGAGTTTTTTTAGTTGAACTTTTTACTTGAAATTTATCAATAAATACAGGGTCAACAAACAAATTATGTAAAAAATTTCAAACAACAGATAATAAGTCTAAATTCCAGATATTACCTTAAAGTAGTTTTTTTAGTTGAACTTTTTACTTGAAATTTATCAATAAATACAGGGTCAACAAACATTTTTTTTTGAGATTTCACCTAAATTAAACCTAAATTCTAGATATTACCTTAAAATGGTTTTTCTTGTTAAAAATTTTATTGTAGAAAATGAGTAATTTCATTTTTATTTATTATTTAAGTAATAGGCTATTAAAGCACCCCGACCTAAAAGATCTATTGTGCGCCTAAAGGCCCAACTAGGACAATTTTAGACTGTTTATAAATCTTGTAATTGCTGTGGGCTTAATTTTACCTATTTGATTTTGGATTAAGATCCCGCTTCTAAGGTAATCGAGTCTACGTCTTGCCACCGCCGGGCAGTTGCATAGAACTGCCCGTATCATTAGATTAAATTTGACGAACGCTTTGACGAAAGAAAGTACATTCTGAATATAAACTATTGTTTCCAATATAGCGGTATTTGGAATAGTATTAAATTACAACAACAAAATTTTGTTATATTATTAATTAATAATTAATTGAATTTTTGACTAACCATGCACTTGTTTCCAGTATTACCCAATACCCAGCATCAGCGGTCTTGTAATTATTTCCTATACTTAATTATTCGTAATATGAATATAATATATCTATGGAGCTCAAAATTGCACAAAATATTGTTTCACTTACACATTATTTTTAAAGCAATGTCAAACATAAACATAAAAAGAGATCGCGTCACGTAGATCGGGTAATTAATGATAACATTGGAGGATTTCCTTCACCTACTCAACCAACTCTGGAGAACTTAATGGTTTCAATAACAAGTTTTATATTTTTTCTGTTGGAACTATTACTTTAGAAAATAAATGTAACAAACATTAAAGATATTTTCTACGGAACTTAAAATTATAAAAAAAATTATTGAATTTTTTTTTTACTTCTCTTCAACTTTCTTTAGTGAAGAAACTGGTTTCAATAAACAAACTTACAAGTTTTTATTTTTGATGTGCCTTTGCTTGGACTCATACCATATAAATGGCTAGGTTTCTTCGTCTTGTTCCTGGTGAACTTCAATTTAAATACCACAATCCAATCGCACTTCCTAACAATCCCCCTCTCACACAATCATTACACACACACATCGTAACCCAAATATTCGTCATGCAATTCCTTTTATGTTAACTGCTTTACAGATTTCTACGAGCTACATCTGTCTACTACGAAAAGTAGGCTTTAAATATGTTTTAAGAAGCAGACGTATCGCAAGATATCAGAAATTGTATAGAAAACTGCTAAATAACACCGCATTGAAGAACCTTCCAAACACCCGCCATTAAGACTTCCCAACACCCGCCATCAATTAAGGCTCGAGTTATTGTGTGCGCTGAGTAAGCGAACAGATAGATGACGTGATGGCATTGACGTTTGCAATAAGGTGGACAGCTTTAATGAGTCCAATTGATTGTCTTAATGTATGACATGCAATGAAAAATAATTTTGACAGCAGCTGTTTGTCCCTTTTTAAAAAACTCTTTGATTTCGCACAAAGATGGTGCAGATGCGACATACAAAGGTAGCCGCTTGAAGTTCGTAGTGTTGTATTTTGGCATCATTAATTATCTTTCAAGATTTCCTTAATTTTTTTCTTAATGGTAAAAAATAATCACTAAGAAATGTTTTTCGTAACAACATTTACAGTAGCGGAACTTTTAAATAGCTTAAAGATTGATTCACTTAATTTTACTTCACCCTGAAACTCTGCACGCCCAGAACTATTTTAGCACATTTGATAAAATTGCATAAAAACAATTTAATTTTCTTGGTATAAAATTCTTAAATCTTTATGGATATAAGCGCTTTAATGGACTCATTTAACTGTTTTACATAAACTATTTTAAATATATGGACACAAAAATTAATATAATCAAATTGTATTAATACAAAAAAAATAAAATTTGTGATATAAAATAAAAAGTAAAATTTACTTAGATTTTGTTGAAGGCAGCAATATCAACAGATTGTACGAAATCTTCGAATTCCTGAATTTGTTCAGTAAGCAAATCGATGGAAACTTTCTCATCCTCAATGACGCACATGATTTGCAATTTGTTAATGCCATAACCGACTGGCACCAATTTGGAGGCACCCCACAAAAGACCATCCATTTCAATGGTGCGAACTACTTTTTCCATTTCTTTCATGTCGGTTTCATCGTCCCATGGTTTTACATCAAGCAGAACAGATGATTTGGCAATGAGCGCAGGTTTTGTTGATTTTTTAGCAGCATAAGCAGCAACACGTTCTTCACGGATTTTTGCTGCCTCTGCATCTTCTTCTTCATCAGAACCGAAGAGATCAATATCATCATCATCATCGGCAGCAGCAGCTGGAGTTGTTGGTTTAGCACCAGCAACTTGTGGCAATGGTGCACCACCCCATGCAGCACGTTCGGCAGCTTCAAATGAAGCAATGTGACGGTACCAACGTTGTACATGTACCAAATCACCAGTTGGTGCCTTGCCTAAAGCATCGAACACAGATAAATCTGCTTTGCTGGGTGTGTAACTATAAGAAAATTCAAATTTATTGCGAAAATATTGCTTACGTGTTTATCATAACCTCAACTCGCTGAACTTACCCGCTAATATAGCTGTTGTCGGCCAAGAATTTATTCAATTCCTTAACGCCTTGTGGGGTTTTTACATCACCGAAAGCCATTTTTATTTATCTTTAATTTTAAACCTGCTTTTTGTTAAAATTTGTTCGATGCGCCTTCAAATTGCTACTGCTTGCAATCGACTTGACAACCGGAAAGAATGTGCCCGCACTAAAATTAGTGATACCAAATCAATTTTTGACAGCTAAGGCCGCAGTGTTATATTTAGTAAACATACTTGTATATGAAATATAAGGAAGACATATCATTCTGTCAACATATATTATACATTAAATTAAGATCTTATGTCGCTAATTCACTAGGATTTGTTTTTAATTTCATAATAATAATTAGTACATTACTTATAAGTTCTATTATTGGCGCTTTCAGCAGCTTTGAGGTATTGATTTTTTAATAATATTTGTGAAAAAGACTGACAGGTTAGTAATTGTTAAAAAGTTAATTATTTTCTAAGGAATTTTTAATTTCTTTGTTCATTAAAAAATGCAGTACATAAATAAATACAAAACAAAATCTTTAAAATAAAAGCAAAAAGTTATAAGACAATTGCAAGAAAAATAAAACAAAGTAGTTTGAAAATTATAAAAACATTTTTATTCACGATCTCGTATTGCCTTTTTGTATATGTATATAAAAAAAATTCAAAAATTCAACCGCACATTTTTTTGAATTTCTTTACTTGTCATATATTTTCTGGTTTAGGCAGTGATGCCAAGTTATTATTAAGCACCATTCAGTTTAGCAACTTTAAGCGAGCGACTTGCTGTTTTTTACCACAAGTAAGAAACTACCGAAAGCTACAATACTAATACTACAAATACCATTGTATTTGTTTATAAATGAATTATAGCTCTACAGCAAGTAGTTCTGAAGGGGTGTATTAGTTTTCAAGAATTGAGTACGATTACAAATGAATTTATATATATTTATATATTGTTTAAAACTACAACTGTGATATTACGGTCAGCAGTACGGTCAGTCCAAAATTTCAATTTATTATATATAAAATTTTTGTTGTTCTAGTTCATAAAGTTTTGATTAATACTTTCCAAATAATTCATCGAATTTATCATAATGTTTCAAACGAAATTTCTACTTCATTTTTATTCGATTCCAATATGACAGTTCCAGGTTTCTATGCATGTCCTGGAATAGTGAGTGCCACAATTCCTTTATAAATAATAAATAGAATATTTCACACAAACTATAATGTGAAATATATAGTATTTATATAAATAATATAAATATTTTAAATATTATGCAATATTATTAAAATATTTATATTGTCATGATTAATATGAAAATTATAAATATTATATACGAAATCTAAAAATCCTTACAATTTCATAAATGCAAAATGGTCAATAAAACTAAAAACATGATTTTTTTTATTTTTACTGAAATTATTGTCTATACTTTTTGTGTAAACTACTTCTTTCTGAGAGGAAATATGATTTCATTTTCATTTTTAAATATACTTGAAACATACAAAAACAGGAACTATTAGTTTTTTATTCAATCAAACCACATAATAAGAATTAAAATTCATGTTTTCCTAGATTTTTGCTTAATATCATTTAATTTTTCTGAATAAATTGCTTTTTAAGAAAGATAATATTATTTTATTTTCATTTTTTACTTGGTTTAACTTTACTTTAAAATTACGGAAACTAACCAACTATTTGTTCAATCAAGCAAAAAGGCTTGTAGCATTTTAACAGATGATTCACTAGTCTTTTAATTGAAAGTGTTGCTGTACTTTCTGTGCAAACTGCATTTGTCTGATAAGAAATATGATTTTATTT